GAGAGAGAGAGAGAGAGAGAGAGAGAGAGAGAGAGAGAAATTAATTGAGAGAACAGGAGAGAGGGGCTGAAGTGAGAGAGAAAATTTTAACCAGGCTCCATGCTCAGTGCAGAGCCTGACTCGGGTCTCAATGCCATGACCCTGGGATCATGACCTGAGCTGAAATCGAGTCAGACACCCAACCAACTGAACAACCCAGGTGCTCTGTTTTACATTTTATTCCAGTTTAGAAGAATAACTGCCAAGTGAGAAAAAAATGGAAACAAAATCAAAATAGAGGCCTGCTTTCTACTTATTATATTTTAGCTTCACAATGAGAATTGATTTTGTCCTTGAAACAACAAAAAGATTCTTTTGTTACATTTTCAAAAGCCTCAGTTCATTCTATTTTTGCTCGCCCACTTTACTTTGTTCATTATAAACCAAATTCTGATTTTTATGTCCTATAGGTCTCAATATTTCAAAACCTATGCAAAAAAACTAGTAATCCATGATTCTAATGTTTTAGGACTGTAGCTTATGCTAATTGCAAACATAAACTTACTATCTTTCCTTGAAACAAAATCACATTACACTAATAACTCAGTTCAATTTAATCCCCAAAAGGAACCTTCAATTCTGTTTTATCTATTTTTATGCTTTGATACTGATATTTCATACAAAGGCAGAACTATTTGAGTTCCCTACTTTTTAGTATCCTTTTATCATTTTTCTATTCATTTTTCTAAACCATCTTCATTAACATAACAGAAAAAATAATTTTATGTTATTATGGTTTTTTTCAACTGCCTGTATCTTCTTTTTGCTTTTAGTTTTCTGATATTTGTAGCCAGTTGATGATGGTATTTCTTAATTTTATTGAATAAAAGTAATGTCCAACTTTGAAGTCCTTCTATTTGCCTTCCAGACCCATATAGAGTTCTAAATTTAACACAACTTTTTCTGCCCGCTCCTGTTACAATCCGACTCCTAAGAACAGAAAACTGAAACAAGAAATAGTATCTTTTCAAAAATAAACAGCTGGCTTTTCTTTTTAGCCCTCATCTCCTTAAGACCATAGCAGTCTGAATTTGAGAATGGAAAATGATGTCTAAGTTGCAAAAGATACCTGAGAATAGCTGTACAATGAGTAGTTGTTCAATATACCCTAAATTAGTTAACATATTTTTTTAATTCATTTTTTTTTTTACTTTGAAATTTCTCTCCTCTTGAAAATATGTAAGCATATACCTTAATTCCTAATTTGACATCCTGATGTAGGAAGTTAAGGCTATAGTTTTTCACAAGACAGAAATCCCCACATTATCAAAACTTTAAATGAGATAATTACACATATTCTCCACGTTGGGTGATATTTCATCTGCACCACTAACAAGAACTAGGTGGAATTAAGATTCAAAACTTTCCTGTGGCAAAATACCAGTATGAAACAGATTTCTAAAAACTAAAAAGTAGGTATGACAAACATCATTTTCTGTGACTTAAAATATAATGTAAGAAATGAAAATATTACCTATTTCTAAAAAAACTGTGTAGACAGAAAAAGACGTTAGAATGAAGAGTCTCTAGACCACAATAAGACCCTTAAGTATTACAGAATATAAAAATGATTAAGAATTCAATTAAAGTAGAAAACAAAATTACTTAAAACAGGGGCACAGAAGTTGTGCTTAAAAAAAAAAAGGGAAGGGGATGAGAAAGGTGAGAAAAGTGAGAAAAAGCACTACCAGACTCCTTACCCATTGTTGTTGGTGCTGGAGCTTCCTGATGGTATTTTCAGCTTGCTCCAGTTTAGCACTGGCCTCATCACTCTGCTGTTTGATGGTGGCCAACTCCCGTTTTATGAGGTAGTTTTCCTCAGCCTCCTGGGCTCTTGTCACTTGTCCCTTAGGACATAATTTGTGTGTGTGTAAAGCAATTTAGGACAGATTCAAGAAAGACTGCCTTTGTGAGGTTTAGTTATTTACTGTGACATGTTAAAAAAAAAAAAAAAAATCACCTCAAACAACCTAAGTAGAACAGCCTAAGTAATTATTAACCAGCAGCTCATTATCGCTCCAGCAAATTTTGGGAAACTAAATAAGAAAATTCATCTGATAATCTTAAGAATAATTCTTTCAGTCAATAAAAATTCAATTCATGCAGTATTACTGAGTTGCACATGCAGAACTAAAACTTTCAATGAATAGTAGTTAATTTCACAGAATCCACTGATTGCCATTTTGGAATAAATACTTTAAAATAAGGTTAGCTTTAAAACGTGCAAAAGGTATCTAATAAACCAAGATAATGCACCGTTATCAAAAATTAAGTTTATGCACATAATATACTGCCCCAAAAAATTATTGCTAGGAAAAATGCATGTAAAATTGCATGCATTAAAATGTGATTTTCTAGGTTTAGGGCTTCCCTTAGAAGTAAAGTTAGAGAAAATGCTAAACGAAAAAAACTATACCTGTATCAATCTATCTGCCAAGGAAGCACTTTCCTACAAAAGGAAAAATTCAGATAGAAATTTAAGAGAAAGAAATAAAATAAAGGTGCATAAAATTAGGAATAAGAAGAAACAAAGCATACCCAAATTCCATCTACTTTTCATTGTAATTAAAATGAACATATATATTTGACATTAAAGCTATTTTTTACTGTGTGTGGTGTCATCCTTAATTCTTAAGAAAAATATATCAAAATGAGGACAGACCACAGAAAACCATATGCTTCTAGAAGACCAACACAAATACCAAGAAGTTTTTCATCATTTGAGACAAGCAAATGGCTTCTTTTAAAGCATACTTTTAAGTTCTATGTTTGGAATCAGCCATATTGTCAAACCACTTAGAAGAAAGGGAGAAGGAAATTGAGTACGCAATTCCACTTATAAAGTGTGACAGCAATTTGTACAACAGCAACTTCCAAAGAAGCAAAGCAAGGAAAATATGACAAATGAAATTAATGAGCTCAACTTAATAAATTATAGCAAAAACTGAGAAAGTAAACATTTAGGTTATAGAATTTAACTGAAACCTAAGTATTTCTAGAATTCCAAGTGCTAAAGGACACACCTAGGCCATGTAAGCCGGTAGAAAGGTACTTAATTTTCTAAAGTAAAATCCAAACTTAATACTTTCCTATAGCACCTTTATCTTTCTGAAGGTTCAATGAAATAAAAATACTTTCTCTGTGAAAATACCTCACTCCAAAATAAAATACCACCTAGGAAAACATATTTTAGTATAAACTGAGTATTTAATGAAAAACATAGTATACAATTAAAATGGCTTAAAAACTAAATTAAGCTCAACCTTTCTGCAGAGTCACCAAAAAAATAGAATTATCCTCAAAACAACTCTAATAAGATGAAGGAATACAGGAAAACTATTTTTGACTTAATATAATGTACTTGAAATTATTATACAACAAAAAGACACGTAATAAATATCCTATCCTTGTGTGTGGTGTTATTTAGTAAACCATCAGTGCCTTCCAACAAAAGACATATATCCAAACTATCCACATATTCATGTTTTCTTTCTTGAATATCAATCTGTAGATTTTCAGAGATTTTAAGATTCTGCAATATCATCTATAAATCTACTTACCCTCATCTTCCATTTAAAAAAAAAAAAAGCCCCGCCATACACCAAAAGACTTTGTGAATTCAGCCTTTTCTTTTGACAAACCAAACCTCTTAGACTGTACCTTTATTACTTAATACTTAAAATAATACTACAACAGACATTACATTAAAAGTACATTAAAAATAATGCAAAACCTTCCACATTTGCCTAGTTATTTTATATTAAACAGAGAGGAAGAAAGAGGTAAAAAGTAGTATCAAAATAAGTCTAAGAACCAAAAGTTTAAGCACAATTCCCCTGTGTTGAAAATCAACACCATGGTGAATTTTTATATGAGCAATCAGTCATTTTGGCTAAACTTCAAGTCATCCTAGGCATTAAAGGAATCATTGACACATTTAATATATGGCTAGAGTCAGGGCAACATTTGAAAGCCATTTTTAAAATGCTATTCAGAATGGATTCTCAATTAGGCTACTTCTAAAGAACATACTTTTTTAGAGACTATATGTAAAGAAAATAAATGGTACCAACGTTACTCTAATAATAACCTCAGTTAAAACTTTAACCTTAAATCTCAAGGACTTGTAGTGATCAATTGTTATGAATAACAAGTTACTTAGTAAAGTAGTAAGGTAGGCAAGCTAAGCAGCCAATATCACAACTTTGGAGACATGTGATAGATTTCTTGAGCCATTATTTAAAATAAAAAATAATACTGTGCATACAACAGAAGCTTGCATACAAAAGTAGTTATTTACTTACTTTTTCTAATGTTTCAATGCGCTGTTTTAAAAGTCTATTTTCTGTGCGTAATCTCTGCAAAAAAACAAAAGAAAAAAGAAAAAAGAAAGAGACAAACAACAAAAGGTTTGCTTGCAAGCATTCCTGAGATTAAAAGATACCTAAATCACGTCCTTAAAACGTACCACCTTTTATAAATAGGAGAAGTCTAAGAAATGGTTACATTATCTGTCAAATTCTTACAAGTTCAGGGTAGGAAATACATGGCAAAGGAAATGACCATATTTATCACTCCAGCTGTCAATGAATTTTAAATATAAGCTACAATACATAACCCCTTTCTTAAAATACCTATTATGACTCATAGTCAACATTTTTTTATCTGTCTTAACATTCCCATTAGACAGAAAAGATTCCAACTCATTTAGCTCCTACAAAGACTATCTACACAAATAGTATTCAAATGTTTGGGAAATAACTAAGAAATCTGAAAAGGGCAGCTCACAGGATAAATACCAAAAACAAATTATCAGTTTAGGACTAGACCAGCCTTCATTTATTCCTTGTATATGCCAAGTTGCAATATTTCTTACATTGTGAAAATATAAAGATTGAGCTGTTTTCCTCAAATTAATTACTTATGAGTTGTTTTGAATTTTAAAAACATGGGGGCACCTAGCTGGCTCGGTCAGTACAGCATGCAACTATGGATCTCAGGGTAGTGAGTTCAAGCTCCACACTGGGCATGGAGCCTACTTAAGAATAAAAATTTGAAGAAAAAAAAAAAAA